CTTGGGGTAACATGGTCAAATAACATTTTACTTTTTAAATTCACTTTTTAAAAGTTTCAAATAGTTAAGTTTTAAAAATTTACTTTCAACTATTGTTTGAATGTATCTTCAAGATGTACTTTTTTATAAAATATATTACCCAAATAACTTCCAGTTTTTAAAAGTAAAATTTTATTTTTTGAATATGAAAAGTCAAAAAATCAAACAAATTTTAAAATATATTTATTTTAATTTAATTGCATAAAAATATATTAAATGTAAAAGGTTAAGTATCTTAAGTCTACCAAAAACCAATTTTTGGTCAACGGGAAAACAAAGATAGATAACCCTCTAGTCTCTAATATGGGCCGTCCCCGGCTCTGAGTTTGTTGTGCGAAAGTGCAGAAAACCGGAAGATGATTGGTGCTTATCAGATTTAAAAAAAAAAAAATTTGGCGGTGAGCAATTAGCCAATCACGGCTTGGGTAATATTGGGACGAAGGAGTCACGTGGGATTCACGTGACGGGGATATTATTGAGCCTCTTCCGTACCTTATGTTGTCCGGTTTTACATTCGTTTTGTTTTGCTTTCGGCTTTGCCATTAAAAAGATTGAACTCGCGTCAACGGTGCCGATCTTCCAACCGATCCAAATTCAATACGGGAAGGCCAATTTTGTAATTTAGGGTTGGTACTGGCGTTGCCGCTTCTGGGGGAGCAAGTGCCGCGTGTGTCTGCTTTTGAAGACGCTCAAGCACGTGACAGACCCCTTCCGCACGTGCTTCCGTTTTTAAACAAACACCAGCAGCAATACTTTCTTAAAAAAAAAAAAAATTATAATGAAGGAAAAAAAGAAAAAAAAGAAAAAGAGAGAATCGTCCTTAATTACAGCTGTTGTCTGTCCCCACCCAACGGCTACAATGCCTCAGAAAGTACAATTCTCCGTATGTGTTTTCCTTGTTCACGAAGAATTTTTATTTTCTTGGCTATTACTTCCCCCTTTTAAATGTACAAGAAAATAATCTGTTCAGAAAAAAACGAAATAATAAATTAATATCATTTAAATAAGTTGATTATATGTCTGAAATTAAAAAATTTGGACTACATTATTTTTATAATTGATAAGATAAACTTATCCAGTAAAAATAAACATGTATTTTATGAGAACAATTTGAGAAAAATGTGATAAGTGCTTTTGAAATTTATAATTTTGTTTATAAATAAAAATATTAAAATACATGATAGGTTTTTTCATACTTAAAAAGGAAGAGTATTATTTTAAAAATCACACAGAGTAAGATTTATATGAGAATATTAAAATAAATTATAAATGACATTCTGCATAATTTTTTTTAATTGTTACGTGCAAAAAGTACAAAAAATAGAGAAAATGTTTGAAATAATGGAGGCAGATTGGGAAAGGGCAATAATTTAAAAATATAACTATCGAATAGCTGTGAATTACTGAATCAAGTAAGGTGGGAAAGTGAGTGAGAATGAAAAAGCGATAAAGTTTATTTTGGGTAATTGTATAGAGAAAGCAATGCATCCTATCTTGAACTTAGCACAAAAAAGGACGGGTTTTTAGAGAAAGCGTTTAGCGAGCGGCATCTTAGGCACCAATCAACACATAAAAAAACAAAAAACAAAAAAATCTTGAGATTCATCTTCTCCAGACACAATCTGTAAAACTTGGGTTTTTATACTCTGATGCTCTGCTGAGTACATTCCCCCGTGCTGCCCCCGCCATTCTGTTGGCGTTTTATATTAACTAAATAATGAAATAGAATCGAAAACTCCGAACTTAATTGGAAAAAAAAAAAAAGCGATTAGTGTCAGATTATCTCTGAATTATTAGGACGATATCACCGACTGGGTTGAGTGAGCGAGTTGATGGGAGACAAAAACTTGGAGGATTGGGAGTGGGAGGGTCATATTTAAGTATCAGGTACGACGTACGAGTAACAGAAACGGATACAGATCTCTGTAATCAAATCTCTTGCGTCCCTTGTAAACGGGGCCACCTCCCCCATCTTCTCTCTCTCTCGTCCTTTCCCCATGTCCTTCCTAAATCTATCCTTTAATTATTATTTTTATAAAAAAAAAAAATTAGAACAAGATGTTTAATTTAAATACAATCTAATCAACCCTATTACATTAAAAAATATTAAATAATATTTTATGTTTTAAATTATAAAATATTTATATAAAATTACACATGCTAATACAGCTCATTAAATATACTTTATAACTTAATTTTTCAAGATAAAAAGTATAAACTTTAAAACATATTTTTTATTTAATACTTCATGTATAAAAAATATTAAAGAAAGAGAATATATAAAAACGATAAGCATATTAATAAAATTTTATTTTTATTAAAATTTCTTATATTTTAAAATGGAATAGTACTTACTCATTTGATTTTATTTATAAGTCATTTTAATATATTTTATCTAAATCAAAGAAAATTTTAAAACTCATTAATTTTATCTAAAAATTTAATAATTTTTTAACTTTAACCTCATGGAATATACATAATTTAATAACATATTTTCTCTTTCAATATTCAATACAGAGCAAATGAGAAAATTTATAATAAAAAATTTAATACAATAACTTATGAATAAAATAAAATATAAATCTTTTCTCTATATCCTGTAAGTAGGAATAGAAGGAGGATGGGTAAAATATAATTTAAATCAATTCTTAGTCATTCTTCAAGTAATTGGTGAAATGAAGTAATTTATGTATTTTATCTAGATTGTCCCCCAAATAGGTTATAATAAATTGGGAAAGGTGGGTGTGATGATTCGTGTATGGGATGAATTATAGATTTTATATTTCATGGGGATATGAAGGAAACAGTTATTAAATGGAGGGGAGATTAATTTAAGCGCAAGTGAATAAAATAGTAGAGAAAACAAGATTCTGGCTACATTTGGAAGGATTAATTAATGAAAGAGGGGGAAGTGGAGTCCAAAATCTTAGGTTAAGAGAATCAAAATGTCTGACAAGCAGATCAAGGGCACGGCCAAATAACAAGTTTTAAATCAGGGAGAGGCTGGGGAGTAATTATTTTAGTTAGTTGAGAAGGAAGGAGGAAGGAGGGAGGAAGGTGGTGGTGGTGGGAGAGAGAGAGAGAGAAGAGGAAATGGGGGTGGCAGGTATTACAGGCTGGCCTGACACAAAAGCAGTAATGATTCGCCCTCCGATTCCGCGACCGATCTTGTCGTTTTGCTCCACCTCATCCTCCACTGTGGGCCCCGGTCCTCTCAATTAAAATCCTAATATATGCTCTCCAGCCTGGAGTCCTCAGTCAAAATCAGGGTCAGGCAGCCTCCGATCCCACCTTTGCCATCCCATCCCAACCCAACTCAACCGTTATCATCGTTATCTCTTTCCTTGCTTTTCTTTTTCCCTCCTTGTTTTTTTTTTTTTTTCCCCCGTTCACTTCCCTCACTGTTCCATTCCCTTGTCTCCTCCCACAAGCGCGTGCATCTTCCTCCCAGTTTCATCCCGTTCACACCCAACTACAATTTCAACTCCCTGAAGCTCCTCTCATCAAAATTTCATGAGTCAATTGAACAACTCTACTAATTCCATTATTTATATTAGGAAGAACATAATTATCTGATCCTACAATTTTGTTACATTTTACTTTTACTTTCTATAGTATTTTTAATATTTTTAATAATTACAGTTTCGATAAAACTGAATGACGTTTTCTACTCATATATCTATTATTTCAATATTTGAAAATGCTAAAAAAATTGTAAAAATTAAAAATAAAAATTCATAAAATTATAGAGATTAATGATTATTCCTTCCATTAAAAGATATAAGGTATTTTTTAAGAAGTTGGATGTTTAAAAATGTTAGACATTTTTAGTCTTTTGATGTGTAATTATTGCCTTTATTTTAAAAGTGTCCATATTAATGAATAAATTTATATTTATTGTAAGGTGTTTAGTAGGAGTAAATATAAAAAATGAGGTTAATTTAAAGGTAGGTAATTATTTTATTGAGAGGTAAAATTTAATTAAAAATGCATTATATTTTTAAACATAGGGAGTATGTTTTAATCAATTTGTTTTTTCAAAATGTAAAGAAAATTTATGCTGTCTATTTATAATAGGATTTATAAATAATATAATTACATAAAAATTATACTACTGCTTATAAAATATAGTCCATTTGTTTCACATTTTTGAGAGTAAATATTTGTTTCAAAATATAAGATAGTTTAACAAATTTTTTTCCTTAAATTTTACGTGTATTATTATTCTTTCCTCCTTCTTTTATTTTCTTTCTTTATTTAATGTTTCATAAATAATATTATATTTTATGAAGAATATTTTTCAAAATTTATATTTATATTTAAAAATGATAGTATAATGTATTTAAAATTTTTTATCAATACACATAATTTTGTAGGGAAAAATCTTACTCCCTTCACTAAAACATATAAGATATTTTTTAAAAATTTGAATGTTAACAAATGAAAGATATTTTTAGTCTTTTAAAATATAATCATCTTATTTTTTAAAATATATTTATTATTAAATGAATTTATATTTATTATACAATATGTAATAGAGATAAATATAAAAAAAATAAAATTAAGTTAAAAATAAATAAATATCTTATTAAAAAAATAAAATTTAATTAAAAATATTTCACACTTTAAAACGGAGGGAGTAAATAATAACACCAGGTTGTGTATTTTGTATTTTTGTTAGATAAAAACTGAATGGATGAAACAGGGAGTGAGGGGGGATTCATAACATGAGGTGTGATCCGTATGAATCAAGGAAGCTGTAGGGTGACGCGTGTGTTTCGACAGCTGTATCCCAAATCCCAATTCAACCGCTTTCCTGGAAGGAGCGGTACCGCATGCCCTCCCCATCACCTCATCAACCTCTGTCTAACTAACTTGCCTAACCGGTCACCCCTTCGCCTCTCCCTCTCATATATAACCAGCCCAGGCAAGCACGCTTCTCTCAACTTGTTGCTCCGGCCAATTTCAACCATCAAAACTAAAAACCACCCAAGCCTTCTTTGTTGTCGTTTCTTTTTCCAATTTTTGGTTGTTGTTGTTGTTGTATGATCTTCGATTTCTGAAGGATATGAGCATGGTCATTGATACCAGGAAGGATATGGATCGGATCAAGGGCCCCTGGAGCCCCGAAGAGGACGACGCCTTGCAGAAGCTGGTGGAGAAGCACGGACCTAGGAATTGGTCCCTGATCAGCAAGTCCATTCCGGGTCGGTCGGGCAAATCTTGTCGTCTCCGATGGTGTAATCAGCTCTCTCCGCAGGTGGAGCACCGGCCTTTCTCGCCGGAAGAGGATGAGACTATTATTCGGGCTCATGCCCGATTCGGCAACAAATGGGCCACCATAGCCCGGCTTCTATCGGGTCGAACCGATAACGCCATCAAGAACCACTGGAACTCCACCTTGAAGCGCAAGTGTGCGTCCATGATGATGGATGAAGCCGGCCCTGGTGCCGGCGGATATGATGGCAGTTTCAGCTCCCAGCCGCTGAAGAGGTCGGTGAGCGCTGGAGCTGCCATCCCGGTATCGACGGGGTTTTACGTTAACCAGCAGACGCCTAGTAGCCCGTCCGGATCAGACGTTAGCGATTCCAGTGTGCCGGTAGCTTCTTCTTCCCATGTTTACAGGCCTGTGGCGAGAACCGGCGGTGTTCTACCTCCCGTAGAAACGACGTCTTCATCGAACGAACCTGCTACTTCATTATCCCTATCACCTCCCGGGGTGGACTCTTCAGAAGTCTCGAATCGTGCTTCGGAGTTAACACATGCCGCCCCGTTAACGAATACTATGCGTCTGTTACCAGCAATGCTTTCGGCCCCGGCATCCTCTGCAGCTCCACCGCTGCCTCCAGCAGGCGCAGCGATGTCTTTGCAGCATCAGGTTCATTTAGGTCTATGCAATTGGAGGAGCGGTGACGCTGGCTCATCGACGGCGAATCCTAATGGAGGCGCGCCATTCAATTTCAGTGCAGAGTTGCTGGCTGTGATGCAGGAGATGATAAAGACGGAGGTGAGGAGTTATATGGCGGGGTTAGAGAAGAGGCAGCTCATGGATTTGCGAACGCTTCAGTGACGCGAGCGTTTGGGGATCAGCCAGTTCGATTCGTAAATATGAGAGTAGACAAGAGAATGGAGTACGGAACGATAAAAAGTTTTATCCTTTTCCTGTTTTAAGTTCGTAGGCAAATAATTTTGCTTGATGTACAGAGACAAAACTCGTGCTCGCAAGAGAAATCAGAGAGTGGCCTTTGATGCCCGAGGAGTGAGAAAACGGAGGTTGGGAGGGGGGGGGGGAGTTGAAAATGAGAAAATTTCATGGGCGAAATGTAAAATTTCATCCATGTTGAAGGACTCTTGTTCTGTTCTTCAGGCTTAAGGGAAAAAAGAAGTAGGATGAAACTGAAAACTATCTTCAGAATCTTGATAAAAAGTTAAATGTGTTTTTCGTATTAGCACCGGCTGGTATTTATGTTTTTGGCTTCCTTCCATTAAAATATAAAAATAGCAAATCAATCTATCACGATTCACGCGACGCTAGAACTGAATTCTGAAATCAAGGAAAGAGGCTAGTGCGTCGGTTAATGTTTTCTGTTACTGTCATGATGTTCTAAAAGAACATGTTCAGCTACCAAAAGCTTAGTGTTTGCTTGAAACTACAAATCAGGCACGCGATAAATAGTTAAACTCACTTCAACTTGATAGGTTGGTATTTAGAGTGAAATCATAAGGAAGAGAGCAGCTCTGTACAAGGGACCAGGGGAGGGACAAATGTTGTCCTTGGGTCAAACACCTCACAGAGGATAAGATGCTAATCCCTGTTCACAAAGTCTGTGTGTGACAGCTTCTAGCAGCAGTGGTTTGAAACAGGAATTTGTCAATTCAACTATTTGTCTATTAGCAACCAATTTGCAAGCCATGGACTGGAACCGGGCAGACTACAATCCAAGAAACTGAGTCGGATATCATATAAATCACATTTAGTGTTCATAGTCTCAATAAATCTGCACTCACTGTTCACATCGCATTACAAACGCAAATGTCAATGATGTCACTTGTCACAACTGTAGAATTATACCAAGTTTGAATGATGATGAACTCGAATCCTCTTTACTGTAACACAGATTTGGGGTCAGGTCCTGGAATTTTCAGCGTAATGATATTGGCCAATTTGCAATTTGATTATCAAGAATACAACACGAAAGGCAGATCAAGATTCAATAATGTTTCCTCCTCGGCTTTCTTTTTGTCTTTTCCTTTTGGTACTTTAGTGCTGTCATGAGCCAAAAAATAGAAAAAACTAGTCTGGCTTCTCCCAAAAACCAGCGACAAACTTGCAGAACCAACAGCAACAAACAACGTATTGGAACATCCAAGTTAGATTAAACCTACAACGGACATTTGTCCAAGTGGTTAGAGATTTTAATAATTTAACTAGAGGTTTTATGTTTGAGTCTCAAAATATATAATGTATAGCTAAGCATGTAAAGTATGTTTCGTCAATGATACCTATAAAACCCTCTCAAATAGTGTCTCACCTAAGTGAGGATTTGGATTAGTTTGGAGTATATTGGGTGAATAATAACTCAGCTTATCAAAAATGCTTCAGGATACAAGGCGTGATGGCAAAAAGAATAATAATAAGAATAATAATAATAACCTACTCTAAGTAAATAAGTTGGAAAATGTGCATATTTATTCTACGATCCCCATTTGCTGAAGGGAACAAAAGCCAATGGTATCACACATTTAATCAAACTCAAAGTAAAAGTAGCAATACCAGAACTGATGTCAGAACAGTGACCCTCATTATTGATTCAGAACAGTACGTAGTATCGAAAATCTAGACGCAACGAGTTAGGTCTTGGCTTTTACTTGAGAAGTCTGGTAGTTTCTGCTACAAATGAGAGAAATTATACTAGGCAAAAGCTCAGGTAAATTAACCGATAGCACAATAACCTTGAAAATCATATCAAAATAACACCTTGTTCCTCTAAATTTTTCTAATCTGTAACCTCTTACCCTGTATGAGATACATTTTGCAAATCTTGATCATAAATATTTGGGCTCAAGACTCACATTATTCTAAATTTCACACAAGCATAAAATTAATACTCCTTTCGTTAAAAAATATAGAACATTTTTAACTAAATCTCATTCTTTAATAAAGTAGTTACCTACTTTTAAATTAATCCTATCTTTTTATATTTACTTCTATTAAACACCCTATAATAAATATAAAGTTATTCTCAATAAGGGCACTTTTGAAAAAAAAAAAGGTAATGATTACACCTCAAAAGATTAAAAATGCCTTATATTTTTGAAAATTCAACTTCTCAAATAATACCTTATATTTTTGAATATTTTTTAAGAAGGGAATAACAAAAATGGATAGCCACACATGCAAATGAAATCAGACATAAACTCCACTAGAATTTCATTTACAGTCGGTGAACGAGAAAGTTCATGAGCTGCACAACAAATATGAAGAAATTGGCATACGATAGAGTTGTGTTCCATGCATTAGCACAAGTTAGCAATTTTTTTAAAATAATAATCAGAATTGATCTAAAAAACTACCAGCCATTGCATCTGAATCGAGATAAGCAGAAATGGGAATCTCAGGCAAGCAAATGAATCATAGCCATAAAAAAAAAAAATTCCAGAGAAAGATAAGAAATGTGAAAGTTTTGAAGTCTGTTAGTTGAATGTTGAAGCAAATTAAACAAAAGTAGTAGCCCAAAAATGACAGCAACCCACCTGGATCCACTGCAATTGGGGACTCAAGCGACGGATTATTTCAGTAAATAAAGTGACATTCCAAATTGGAGATTCCAAAAAAGAGTCTCATTATACATTCCCAGATAAGGATCAAAATGCGGTGCTCAAGCCAAATTTCAGGGAACTCTTGTCATAGATTTCAGCTTGGTGGTATTACATTTGCCAAGAGACATTTCAAAAGCATAATAGAAGCATAGTTTGAGAGTTACAGGCTCTACAAAGTGTCTTGCTCTTCTGAGGTTACAACAACCTTTGACCATACGTATTAAAGCTACCTGAACTAAGATCCATATCAGAATATCTATGAAATGGTATAAACTATAATGGTTTCTTGAAAAGGTTTTTATCAGAGACACTGTCCTTCGATTATAAAACCATATATAGCTTGAAATTTTCAGTTGAAGAGATGATGACAAAACTAAAGAGGTTTCAATCAAATATAAAAATTGGCAGGTATATTGCATTCCAAAACACTGATTGTGAAAATTTAAAACCAGAATTCTTGATAATAGGCTATTATCATTGACTAAGCAAATTTAGATAAAAGATGAGAACGTCAGAAATTTAGAGAAAAGTAAATAGCTTCATTCAACAGTCCAGTCTCGAAGAAGTGGACAAACTAAAAAATCACAGGTACAGAGATAACCGTGTTTTAATCAAAAAAGGTTAAGTTCTAATGGTCAATTATGCTGGAAGGCAGATACAAAAGCAGAGATAATTGCAACTATTAATCTTAACTACCATCGGTTTCCTGAAATCAAAAGCTGTGGAGTATATATCAAGCACTGGCAGAGATTACATTCTAATATGAAATTTAATAAATTATGAACTGTAATATGCTCAGACAAATCAATATACAGAGTAATAAATTATTAAAAAATTAATTCATTTTATGTCGTGACATTATCAAAGTGCATTAAGCTACTATTGAGTTCCGGAGAACTTTCTTTCCCTATTTTTATGTTGAGGACTGCAGCAACTCAGCAAGCAGATATTTTTATGACATTGTCAAATTGCAGCAACTCAGCAAGCAGATATTAACTACTCTCTCTGATCCTAAATGTAGAAGCTAACAAACTAATTTATAAAGAGCAAGGAAATTAGGTAAATTAGTTTTTTGTAAAAAATGTGCAAGTGTTGGCTTTCCTAAAATACTCCTCCTTTTAATCATTTTCATTGGAATATTGTCAAAAACATAACTTATTTATTTTACAATATAATCGAACTATAGGAGCATTATGTGAAAAAATTAATAAATATGAAAAAGAAAGGAGATCGAATTCTTACATTTATGACCAAAACAATCCCTTCTATTAGCTTTAATTCCTTTCAAAACAGATATTGATTAGTGTACGAATTTAATAGCTAGTGCATTGCCGGCTTACATTGGGGATCCAAATGCACCATTATTATATTGCAGTAACAGATTGGGTTTTTTTTTTTTTGCAAGTAAATATTTAGAAGGACATCAATATAAAAAAGTGAAGGATCAAAGCTAGGAATTCACTGCTTGAAACAACACTGATTTACATAACATGAATCTAACATCTTGAAAACACAATAGAAACTTTATCATAATGACAATAATACATTACAACCACATACTCAACATGCATTTGCTGGTATCTGAACTATCCACTTTTGCATCTACAAAATCCAAAGCAATACTAAAAATACCAAGCAACAACATATGAAGAATGTCCAAAAGTATAAGAAAAGGCGCAGAAAAAGAATTCAGTGCTGGTTATTAACTCACGCATCTATCGATATATTTTTTAAAAGAGTGATTCTTAAGAGCATCAAAGGAACTTTTGAGGAGTATGCATAAACGATACCAACACTTGTGCTAGTACTTTACTCTAAAGCACCTGGCTGGTAATATTGGTATTAATCCATGAATGACCTCATATTTCTACTCTTATTTCTTTTCAACAGTTTTGAACATTTAGTTACAGAATAAAAATTCAACCAAGACTTTCAACAGTCTGTTAACAGAGATCATCTTAAGAACTTCATTGTTTTTTAACTGATTCATTTTCACAATATTCGTAGAAAATTAAAACAGAAGATTAAACTCATAAAAACGTTAGGCTTCTGATTGAATTGAACACCCTTGACATGGGACTCATGTCTTCACCTTGTTTATAACAAAAAGCTTCTTGTTTTTTTTTTTTAAGGAAAAATTGGTGAAAAGGACTAGATTGAAGCCAAAATTGTGCCTAAGGACCAAAGTACATTGAAGGACCAAGCCTATTATTTTATTCATAAAACAATTTAATCAAATGACTAAAATGCCCCTCCATGTTAACTAATGAAAAAAAGAAAAAGGCAGAAAATTTAGACCGGAGCTTTGGCGACCTCCGCCAAAGCTCCAATAGTTGACGGCGCGTTAGCCAAAGCTTCTGCCAGCAGGTGAAGGGTCGCCAAAAAAATTCAAAACTCGTTAATTACATGCAATCATCAAGAATTACATGTAAACTCAACAACCAAAAGGTGCAAGTCCCCTAGATTAGGGTGTAAAGCTTCCAGCGAATTACATGTAAATCAAATACACAGAGAGCACTCCTTGTCAATCCCTTAAAATTACATGAAAATAATTATGGATTACGTGTAAATTAATATGGGAAGAAACTTACGAGCATGACTAAGGAATGATTTACTTGTAATTTTTAAC